GCTTGACCGGCTGACAAAGAAAGATTTCCAGGGATGCTTCCACACTTGGCAGGGGCGCTGGGATCGTTGTGTTCACTCCCAGGGGAACTACTTCGAGGGTGATGGATGAATTTAATACCTGAGATAAGTGTACGGGTTTTTATACGCGCAGTCTTGAAACCTTTCGATCGCACCTCGTACATAAAATACGAATTCCATAAATGTTTCAATTACCAATTTCAAACGTGGTTTTCAATAAATAAGGCGACTAATATTCTATCAAGGGTTTACTTCTGTGCAACTAACTGCATGGAAAAATTCCATCTTGAGAAACTGAGTATGTACAGACAGTCAAGAAATTCCCCACATTTTGTGAAACCCAAAATTTTATTACAGTCTTCGCAAGAGCCAGCCATTGGTCGATATCCTGAACCACACTCCAGAATCGTATTTCCTAAAATCAATTTCATATCATTTTTATCTATTTCTAGGTCTTCTGGGCTGTCTCTTTCCTTCAGGCCTATCAACAAAAATTGCGTATATATTTCGTATCTTCCTCCTACACCCATCTCATCCCACCTGATTTCATCGTCCAAGTCGTGTCTGGCGAATAGAGCACACAAATTATGCAGCTCGTCATAAAATTGTCTTCGTCCTCCTGTTACTTCAACCTTCATGGTTGAAACATCCTGCAGCAATTATTCCCTGAATCTAGTGAGCTCTTAATTATCTCCTGAGTGCAATTTCTGCATTTAACGAAACCGAAATTTATTTATTTACGTACTCACGTACCTAGAGACCTGCCTGCCTGCGTGATTGCCTATCTCTTGGGCGATTTATACCTCCTAAACTTTTCAATAGCAATCTAAAAGTAAAAATCCAGGTCTAGATGTTGACGTTTCGGAGGTTCATATTGCCTCAGTCATCAGAGTGACTGATCTCTTGACAATAATAATTCTTGATGCGATCAAATCCCATTTTAATTATTAGTTTAATTTAAAATCATTCGTAGTTATCAGGCTAGTCCACGTGTGACACCCAAATTCAGTGTTTTATGAAAAGTTAGATCATAGACGAAAATACGAAAAAGGAAATAAGAGGGAACTTGAAAGTAAAATGAATTACACACACGAATAGATGACTGGGATAACTGGTAACCTATTAAGTCTATGGAGGAGAGCCCTCGATAAGCTAACAGTCGCTCAGGCAGCCACGAAACTTTACGTATTTTATGAAACCGGTCGGTTCATTACCGATTTCACAGGATCCCGCCCCTGGTTCCTATTATGGGCCTAAACGTATCCAATTCGAAATCTGACAACAATTTAATATTCCGGTGAAAGTTAAACAAAGAAGTATGGAATACACATTGTCAATTGTCGTATGAATGGTCCATTTAAAATATCAAGAGTCCGTAAAATTCACTTTTGATACACGATAAAAAACATATACGATATCGTATATATTTTAAGAATACATTATTTTAATTATTCGGTTTTGTCCGTCTAATCACAATTATATTTAAAATTTACAAATAAGATAATTAAAATATCATTTTATGTTCCACATCGAATAATCGATTTACATTTGGAACAAATTATCTTATTTGTAAATTATAATATACATTATTTATTTTATGTTTGATTTATTTTTCCCCGAAAATAATTGGCAAGTGTCTACTTTTGAAATGTTATAGTCCACTAAGATCTTTTGCGTCCAGAATTACGAGGCAAAGTTTGTTTTAGGACTCGTGTTGTTTTACTCATACTATACTCAAGAAACATCACATGACTTACGTGGTTTTGTATCTTTATTCACTCCTGGGATAACCTATTTAAGTTGCTTTGCTTGTTAGTGGTTTCTTTAAGGTCAACCAAAACCCAAAACCTAGTAGTAAAATAACACGAGTCCATAAATCATGTCGTTCTGACGAGAGACAGAAAATACAAAATGCAGCCCGTGAGCAGTAAAGACTTTTCGCTGGTGTGTGATACGTTTACCCCTGGTAATTGTCGTAGTAGTAATAACTCAATTCTCTCCAGAAGTAGACTGACTCATGTGTTTTTTTTTTTAAAAATGACCGATTTACGATTTCAAGAATTATAAAATAAATTGAAAATTCACTAGCTATTTTTTAGAGGACTGGTTCTGTAGTCTTCTTTAAGTTAGATTGAAGGTATAACTCTGCCCAGCTCGTTGGACAAAACTAATCTACATCACTAATGACAGAGAAGGTCCACTGATCAGGATTAGCTTTGCCTAACCCGTCTCTAAGAGCGCATAATTTCTTTTGTTCTTACCTGAAGACGTCGACGGGGAATTTTATAAAAATTTATAAACGTTATTATTTAAATCGCCTGACATTTGACAATATCAACAACAAAAAATTGTGGTTTTCACGAAAAATTTAAATATAGATAGCGATTTTCTGAGTTGGTGCACGTGTGTCATTTCGGCTGTGTGCCAACTATGTGCTACAGCCTCCATATTCTGGACTGAATACTTCAAGAATCCAGAAATCCCAGATAAATATCGTAACAACATTAACATATCATTGGTGTTACACTTCGGATGCGCGGTATATATCTGAATAAGCAATACTAAAGTCAGGATAGGGTAGTTTAGTTCCTTACTTCGTCACCCCGCGCCGTGGTTGTCTCGATGAGAGAGCTGAAACTGCTACGGCTGCCGTGGTGAGATTTCCGTCGAAGTTCCGAAGGCTCGTCCCTGCCAGGGGAACCGCCATGTTGGATTCGGGATAACCGATCATTCTCCAGGCATTGGCTGATAGGGATCCCAAACACCATTCCCCCTCCGCCATCTGCAAAGCCACAGCGCTTACAAATTCTATAATCTATTAACACTATCATAAAACGTTAATTTTTACTGATATATTAAAAGAACGTAAAATTAAAATTTGAACTCATTAAAAGGGCTGTGATATTAGGTTCAGAAATAAAAAGATCCAGAGGAAAATTGTTCTGATTTTCGAAATACTTCATCCACGTATGTATCTTTCGTGTTTTCCAGGAAGGAAAGGTCTTCATTCAGCTTCGACATATTTTTCGCTAAGGAACCCAGAAGAAGGTTTGTCGTTTTATGCATGTTGGAAATCCAGAAGTGCACACTAAGTCTTTCGTACCTAACATAAATTATGATAGGCTTTGAAACAAACTTCTCGTCTGATGCAGACTATTACCTCGTCTGTCAGCCCAATCGAAGGATCGGTGTTGACAATCCCCCTTGAGGAGACGAAGGTGTCTCTGGGTAAAAACGGAGGAGATAAGTTTTTGAGAACAAATAAATTTCTCTTTTCATTGCACAATTCGAATTGGAGTGATACAGTCTTCTATTTAAAATCGCTCCCCATATTAATTTACATGCCAGTATATCAGTCTTTATGCACATTCCTGCGTTACAGATCCTAAATTGTTTACTTTCGAACGTTCTATTTGTGAGGCTTGTGTTCTTGCACGTGGCATATCCGCTGAGGCCATCCTTTTGCTGTGTGGTGGAGAAATTGATGAGGATTTATTGTTTTTCTGTTCAAGAGTTTAAATATTAATGTTATCAGTGAAATTCGTATTTTATTCATTGTCTGTCTCTCAGGAACGTGACGATAAAAAAAACTCACACATATAATAGAATTGTCGGGATCACAGTGGCCACGCGGTCTGAGGCGTGGGCCTTGTGCCCCTTGGTCGCTGGGACCGTGGGTTCGAATCCCACTCAAGCCATAGATGTTTGTCAGCGTTTTTCTGTGTTGTGTTATCCTGTAAATAGGTAGAGGCCTTGCGACGGGCCGATCCCTCATCCAAGGAGTCGTACCGAATGTCTATAGATCGAGCCAACGAAAAGTTGGGACCCAGTATCCCAATAGAATTGTATGTGTTCTTAAATGTGTGACTGAACCCAGGGTCCTGAGACAATAGGAAACCTTGTTCGTTTTTTTTTTTGGGGGGGGGAGGGAGATATCCTGATTCGATCTTCGAGGCAGTGGATCGTAATGCCAAGCACATCAGTTCTTTTCTTTGTTTGTTTAAAAATCATTATCAAAATGTAACCTGGAGAAACTGCCCTTAAGAGTCGCGGAGTAAATCAGAAATACGAAAGGCATATTGTAAGTGTGTGATCGTCATCAGGGCATCCATATTTGAATACTGTAATGTACTTGTCAACGCAGTAAATATTCCAATATCTACAAGAAACAGCGTACTTCATTTATCATCCAGCCCCAAATATGCACGAACATGACCTAAGAGGTACAGAGTTTTACGTAACCCTAGAAACAAAAGCAGAACTCTGAAATGACGACTCTTGGCGTCTAACCTATCCATTAATTACCCTCATTAAAGCAACTAAACATTACCTACCACCCGATTGTGACCTGAGGCGACTGATTGGAAGTCAATGAACTCACCGCGGAGGCTGTACTGCTCAGAAAATAAGGAGAGAGAGAGGACCTTGTTTTTTATTCCGTGTACCAAAGTGTCACTACATACAATATACTCTATATATATATGTTGTAAATGTAAAATCGAATGTTTCGATAGGAACATCACATGATATTTTAATTATCTTAATTTTAAATTGTGATTAGACGGACAAGAATAATTAATTAAATATATATTTTCACAATATGACGCAACTATACCATCTGATACTCTATATATCTCGAGATGTCTCTTAACCTGTCAATTTTTATATGAATACAGAGCGGAGCGTAATTAATCACGTGCAGGAAAGCTCGTGAGTGTTCCTGGCTTTTCTCATAACTCGCGTAATTAATCACGTGCAGGAAAGCACGTGAGTGTTCCTGGCTTTTCTCATAACCTTTTTAGCTGCAATTCTTGAGCCAGTTGAATCTTGTCTGGAAAGAGATGTAAGTCCGACGTCAATATTAGCTGCATCCGTCCAGGTGTAAAATTATCTGCGAAATTCTCTTTGCGTAAATGAAATTGAGCAACTGTTCGTAACAATTTCCCAAATGTCTGGTACCTCACGTAAACAACTTTCATTGCCAACTTTACATATCATGGGTTAAAAACGTTTTATTACAGTTCAGATGTTTATTAGTTACAATCTTATGTCTTATTGCAACGCAAACTGAAATTCAAATCTCCAATTCTTTAATAAAATGCAACCCTCCTTAGCTCCTTGTTGGCCTAATCTTTTTATACGCAGATGACCGTATGTTTGAATCAATTCCACTTCAATTTATTTTCTTAGTTCATACAACGTCCATGTTGTAGTCTTCCTTTCCAGAAAGAAGTCTCTGAAGAGAAGTTGCATATTTTTCAAAGATGTGTCCGCATTTCAATCCAGGATTCTGTATTAAGTTACTGTAGGGTTGATGCCACCTCAGAAGTCCGCAGTGTCAATAATACCGACTGTATGGAACCGGAAAGCAGGGAAGCTTTTAATGGCATAAAACTCCACACCAAAATTCATGAAAATCCGTCCATAGATTCTCAAGGCGCGACATGTGGACAAACTGAGACACGCCGTGCAAATACGTCATCAGCATTTCCAGATCTTTTATTGATCGGCGTTTCTGGAAATTCGGTTCCTGCCACGGATTGTCCTATCCTGGACGAGGGAAGTATCACGAAGTGTCGTAACTCCTTTATCTCCATTTCTCTCCTCCCAATGAAACATTATAATCTCTCAACACGTGACGATATAATAGCCTTGTATTTGATACAAAAGTAACAATTTCTACAAAAATAAATAAATGTAGGTCTAATACAATTACTACAAGCTCTGAAAGAATATTTACTTCAAGTAAGACGTAAGTCCTACGTGAATAGGACGACGGCAAATATCTCATTCTTATTCCAAATCTTTTAAATTGTCACACATCTACAAAATATTTACCAATATTAGACGTATACATATTACGATCTTTTCGCTATTGTATGCAGTTGATATGGCGCTATTTAATGGACTGAGAGACAGCCAGGTGTTTCTCGAAGTTCCTAATCTTCACTGATTGTCTCAATAACTATTTCACGTCCAAGTCTCTGATTTCGAGAATCTTAAATACCATCAAAATAAATAAACAAGTCTATTTCGTGTATTTGAATGTATGTGCAAATAACATGGATCGCAAAGCAAACGACGTACGAATACTGACCTTTGTCCTTGTCATCTTTCCCGCGGGAGGTGTCGAAGAAGCCTGTAGTGAGCGCCTTCCTCTTCAGCAGGTATGGCCTCCGCTTCGGTTTGTGGGACACCGACACGACGGCCTCTGAGGACATCAACAAACATTTTCTCGTTGCAAACGAAGGAAAACAAACAAACAAACACCCGAGTTCACGTCAAGGGTGGCTTCATCAGCACCGAATACGCCTGGAATATTAAAAGGGAAACTCCACAAAAAGATATTAGAGTGATAATAAAATTTTCTTTAACTTCTTATTTACTTTGAAATTTTTCCCTGAATAATTAACAATATACAACACACTGTTCATTTCACTATTAAAATGGCCACGTATAAATGAAAGGTGTGGATGAAGAGATCATTTAAAACAGCAACAATTCCTTTAACCAGAAACAATTGTAATTTGTCACACGTGGCATTAGGGAAAACTGCTTATTGCAAATACTCAGATTTCGGGACTGGCATTACAATTTCTGTAACTGTTATATGGGAGAGTGGTAATGAGCATTGGATAAGCGAGAAGCATTTACAACATTCTAGTGCATATCCCTTATGAGGTGAGATAATTATTTATACTTAGGCGAGGACGGAAGGAGAATATTATGTTTGAAACACGTTAAAAAATATATTCTAAGTAGAAGATGCAAATGAGAGCGTTTCTCCTTGATTGCATGACAAACTGTGACTTTCCGCGTAATTACGAGGTGCGATCGAAAAGTTTCTAGACTGTGTCAATAGAGGGCGAACTGGATGTATCGGAATGGCGTGTGCATCAAATTTTGCCAAAGACTCGCCAAAACGGCTACGGAAACCTATGAAATGCTAAAGCAAGCATTTGGGGAGTCCGCAATGGGTCGTGCACAAACTTTTGTGTGGCATTCACGTTTTAAAAATGGCCGAACCTCTGTCGATGATGACGAGCGTTCTGGACGACCATCTTCGAGCACAACGCCCGAAACTGTTACGAAGATCGACGTCGTACCATCACTTGTACGACTTGTGCGACATTGTTGGGATAGGCTATGGGGCCTGTCAGCTGATTCTAAAGGAAGAACTCCACATGCGACGCAAGGCTCCTGTCTGAGGACCAGAAGCAGAATCGCCTTGACTTCTCGTTTGTCAGGAGCTCAAAGATCTTGCAAGAACCGACCCCAACTTCCTTTTTAAGCTCCGTGTGACTTCTTCCTCTTCCCAAAGATGAAATTTCAGCTAAAGGGAATTAGATTTGAGACGATAGAAGAGATTCAGGCAGAATCGCAGATGGTGCTTGACAGGCTGACAAAGAAAGATTTCCAGGGATGCTTCCAGGCTTGGCAGCGGCGCTGGGATCGTTGTGTTCACTCCCAGGGGAACTACTTCGAGGGTGATATATGAATTTAATACCTGAGATAAGTGTACGGGTTTTTATACGCGCAGTCTGGAAACTTTCCGATCGCACCTCGTATTCTTCTTCGAGACTCCGTAATGCATCGGCGTCTAAACGTAGAGATGTCTTGTAAAAAAACAAACACCATTTCGTATCAATTAGGTACGAACACTACTTTACGTAAATCTCCAACCAAACAATTCTTTTTTTTAATTTTCACAAAAAAACTGTATCACCGTTAAATCAAATGGATCATAACATATATAAAACATTCGCTGATGTGATCAATATTTAACGAAATAAAATATAAGTCTCTACATTGCACAGATCGCTGTCTGCATCAAATAGACATCAGGCGAATAGGCCACGCAAAATAGCTACGAATTCTTTTGTTACGTAAACTGCCAGAGGGCCTACGTATATAAATGTCTCCTCTCTTGTAAGTTTAATAACTGTAGCTATAAATCTCCTGAGTTGTAATTCGGAAGTCTCCGTTATATCCTCGGCTGGGATACCAATTACGCTAAGATTATTTATTTGTCTCCCTGTTCCTGCCAGGATAGAACAAGAACTCCAAATAGGCCACGACGTCTTCCTCCCCAAGCCTATCAAGGTAAAAGACAGTGACCATCCTCTTATATAACACAACACTAGATAACCTAAGCAACTGATACAGCGCTAATAAATGACCTGCGATCCACCCATCCATTTTGTTATCGACAATACATTATATTTTTATAACAGTCAAAATAATCGTATATTCAATTGAAAACATAGTTCGAGGCCCAAGTGATATCAATCTACCTTATGATAGGATATTAGTAAGCTGAGTCTGGAAGTTTTTGACGATTTATTACGATAGACTAATCAATATAACTAATATTTTAGACATTACGTACGAGGTGCGATCGGAAAGTTTAAAGACTGCGCCTATAAAAACCCGTACACTTATCTCAGGTATTAAATTCATCCATCACCCTCGAAGTAGTTCCCCTGGGAGTGAACACAACGATCCCAGCGCCGCTGCCAAGCCTGGAAGCATCCCTGGAAATCTTTCTTTGTCAGCCGGTCAAGC